GTTCAGTTCGTTATTGTTCAATATTTATTTCCAAAGATAGAGGTGTTGCGCTGGCAAGTGAGACGCGCGAGGCCCTTGGATCAAATCCTCGATCAGCACCTCCCCAGAATAACCAGGACGACAGGATTGTATTGCACGTTCTCCGCTACAGCATGCTCACTTTACTCTGCTGAACTCACAATGAAAACCGTCAACGGTGAAAGATCTATGTAATTAAATATTTCGATGAAGCCGTGTCACAAAGAACCTTGTATCGGAACGACTCTGGCAGATCACAACCTTTTCAGAAACTCTCTCCTCACATTAATGATGAACTCCTCTCACTCACTTGCCAGCGCAACACCTCTACCTCTCAGTTAAATTCCATATCCTAGAAATGGAAAGTCCGTGGCTCCGTATTTCATTTGAATGTGGCGGCAGCTGCGTTCTTGGAGGACTGCACTGTCAGAAGAGTTCTCAACCATGACTCCGTCCGTACAAGCACAACCTTCTGTTCGAATGCAATACCTACGCAATCCTCATGCTTCTTCCAGGTAAAGAGACGCAGATACGCCCACTCCATCTCTGGTATGTTGCGGGTTAACGTCAGAACCCCTCAAGCAACGCACATAGTGAATCTCGTCCATCTGTGATTGACCAAATTCCGAAAATTGTTCCTTTAGCAGCGCTTGGCTAGAAGAATCCGGTTCTTGGAATAGTCGATCCTTTAACTCTCTCTCTCTCTCTCTCTCTCTCTCTCTCTCTCTCTCTCTCTCTCTCTCTCTCTCTCTCTCTCTCTCTCTCTCTCTCTCTCTCTCTCTCTCTCTCTCTCTCTCTCTCTCTCTCTCTCTCTCTCTCTCTCTCTCTCTCTCTCTCTCTCTCTCTCTTCTCTCTCTCTCTCTCTCTCTCTCTCTCTCTCTCTCTCTCTCTCTCTCTCTCTCTCTCTCTCTCTCTCTCTCTCTCTCTCTCTCTCTCTCTCTCTCTCTCTCTCTCTCTGCTCAGCAACGCCTGGCGGCGGCGCCAAAACACCTCGAACTTTTTAACTCTGTCCGAAAACCTGAACCTAAGGCTTCCCCCCCCCCAAACGCGAACTACTTTTATCATTTTTCTTCAGATGCTTCTGTTTCAACGAATCCTTTCCTTCTTCAATGGACATGGAACTAGATTGGCGTAACTATGCCTGATGTGTGCGCTATGGGCATCTGGAACGAAAATACCTGAGTCACGCCAGGTATACCCTTATTCCTGAGCCAGAGTAGGCGTGGCAGTTGAACATGGCACAGAACGGGCTTACGCGGGAGTTGATATTTAAGTTTGAGACAACTGTCATCTTGTTTGGATGGAGTGACCGCAATTGTGTCAAAAAGGAGATATTCCTCCAAAAGCATAGTCACAGCCACGTTTAGTTGGAAAACGCAGCCACGCCTACCCCATCTCTAGATTCGAGAGTATTCGTTCGTCAAACGGATGTGACATTGATAAGGTCGAAACCACTTCGCAGCACAAAAGTTCCGCCTTTATGCTCGAGGAAAACTGTTAGTGTCATCAAATCTGATCCTAAAATTCGTGCCAAAATAGAAACAGAAAAAAAGGAAATAATGTGAAAATTGCATTGATAGATGAGGACTAGAAGAACGTTCAAAAAGGATTCCGTGTAGGATTTGTATGGTGCAAAGAGATGAGAAAGATATTCGCCAGCCACCAAACACAGTTCCAAATGCGGTTGATGGAATTCTCAGATCGCCATCTCCGCCGACCTTTGAGTCACAGCTATGGGTCGCGATCGAGAAAGACAAACGAATGGTATGTGTGCCAGTGCTCGAAAAAGAGAACATCGAGCAAGGTAAGCATAGCGCGAAACCTGGGTTCTGCTATTGGGTGTTGCTGTATCAGTAGAAAAATGGAAAGGAACCTGTTCAAATGAAACTCAAATGCATGCAGAAAAGAGTTATTTAAGGGATAAATATCTATGCGAAGCTGGTGGTCCGTTTCGCCTCCGATTCAGACGAAGCGCTGTACATCGTTGGCTCTCCTAGGGCTCTTCAGTGGAAAGGGGGACCAACGAATTACATTTATGTTCCTTACAGAAGCCCCTAGCCGAAAAAGGTTGTCGTGTAAACGTAAAAAAGAAGCGAGTGGCAACCATGGAGTGGTAAGCCTAATAGCACGTTTGAATTTCGTTTTGGAACAGCTACATCTTAAGCAAAGAACAAACCTAAAAAAAAAAAAAAAGCAAAGCAAGACAGCTCACCATCGTGGATCTGCTTTGAACCCGCTTTTCAACCAAATCGACGGTCCGCTTTGTTGGATGAACGCCCACGTAAATGGGAGGCCATGTATAGTTCTTTTGCCCATGTATATCCACATGACGCTTCAGAAAGCCAGCCGATTCACTTCTGAAATAGGAAGTTTAAAGTGAATGAATAAATTTCTCTAACTCTACATAGTTAGTAGTGCTTTTACTGAAGTTTTCTATTTTTCGAGAGACATCAGGCGCTGATCTTTTCGAGACGTCTAGACAGGGCACGCCATCGTTGTGATGATCACAACGGGGGGGGGGTCGTATTTGACCGCGAGGGAGGGGGGTCGTATTTGGTCGTTGTTGAGGAGAGGGACTGAAAGATCTATACAACTACTATTTCCCGATAGTTGAAAATGATAGTTAAATCCTGACGACCTCCCCCCCTCCCCGCTCGACAGCAAAATTTTGGGGAAAAACCAGAAGGAAATTTCGGAAAAACTGGTAGGAGGTTAGGGAAAATCTGAGAAATTTTCCTGTTTCACAATGGGTATGTACTCCTCGACGGGAACTTCTCGGCTGAAAAACTGGAAATTTTCCGAGAAAAAAGCGGCAGGAAAATCTAGGAAAGTGGTAGGTAGCATGGGGAGGGGGAGGGGGAGGCGTATTTGAGGATAGAATTAGGGGGTCGTATTTTCCAGGAAATGATCACAACGCGACGGCGTGCCCTGCGTCTAGGCATCAAGTTAGGTAGCTACGAATTCCATTCGGGCCTTCCAGGCCTTGAAAAAGCGATTTCCGCCGAAGCACATGCCGACGGAGCTGTCCTAACAACTTCGTAAAGAGTTGGAACCAACACGCTACTTTCGAGGGACCCTAGAATATAGAAGGTTCCGTACGAGTTCTATTTGTATTTATTATAGTTGCTCAGCCTGTTCCCAACTGATCGGAGTAGGATGTGTGTGCCATTATTTCCCTGTGCACAAATAAGAAGAACATTTCCTGAGTAGTTGACTTGACGCTGCATACGGTAGGGCCACATTAAACCTGGTAACCAGGTTTGGTACTGGTACACATACCGCGCTTGCAACGAATCTTTCTAAGAACAAGAAACTAATGAGTTATCAGTCAAATATTGGTGCAAAAAATATGTGGTCCGTTTCGTTTATCTCAGACCTCAGGTAGTTCTGTCAACGTCCATCAAGAGCAATCTATCACCTGAAGTCCACCAGTGGCCGTCAAAAATTAGGTAGTCTTGATCGGGAGCGTGTCAGTAATGCTTGTCGCTAGCTCATTCTCCACCAGTTGCTGAAGCGGGTCAGCGACAAAAATCGGTGGAAAACGACTTATATGAACTACGTAATGCAATCCTGCCGCTTGCTCGCTCCAACAACTATTGAAAACGGGTGTGGCGCCGCGCCAAACTCAACCCGCCTGACGTGCCCCATCACCCGTAGCGAACAAAACTGTAAGCAATGGATTTCATGTTTCTCAATAACACTGCGTGTAAGTGGTCAGTTCTTTCAAGCAGTAGCTAGTGTAGATAAATTGTGACCAGGTAGTCGATAGTTGCCAACCCGTGGAATATGGTCGGCAGCTGTCTCGAAATCTAGTAGTGGTGCTATATAGTGAGAAAATGAGGAAAGTGAAAGGAACACACGATGTATACCGTCAAAACCCTGCAAAAACTTTGTTTTACAATGACGCGAAGAGCACATACGGGCGATGTATCCCGTCCTACATCGTGCCAATAACCTCTTCGTAGAATATCGGCTGCTTGTATGTCTCACATGTACACATCCTCATCAATTAACGGACTGGTCGCGGGTCAGTAGCGGCTGCTTTTCCGTCGGTGCAAATGTCTTTTCTGCACCAAGTTGGTTGAATGAGCAACCAATGAATGACAGCATTATATCCTTTGTATTACTCGTTTTCTACCACTTTTTGTCGCATACGCGTTTCAACGAAAAGGCTGAGAACGGCTTCAAACAGTGTGCGCACTCCTACTGGCTGATACGCACCGACAGTCCGTAATGAAAAGGAGAGTACTTAATGAAGGCATGATACCGTTCAAAGCCAGTTAATAATGATAAATCTCCAGTCTTGTAGGATAGATAGCCTAGCAGCAACTGAATGCTCTTGCCCTTGAGCAAAGCGCTGCGTGGCGCGTTTCGAGGAGATAATCCTTTTAGAGCTATCAATCTACAGCACACCGAACTGGACGCCCACCGCAACCGCCCGCCCACAAATGTCCGACCAATCCTGATGCTCGTATCGCATGATTTGCGAAGTACAATATGAGGAGAAGGGATTGATATGAAGGGCGTCAGCGATTCATATCAATCCCTTCGCCGGCCGGCTGGAAGCGTTCCATTGGATATATGAGTACACCCTAGTTCGCTACGGACGGTTGGGCGTGTCAGGCAATATAAGTAGCTCACCCCGTCAAAGCCGTTCTCTGCCTTCTTGATGTCGGCATGTCGATCACAAAGTGGCAAGAGAAACGAGTATACGAACTATACGATCAGTCATTCATTTGCCTCTGCTTTAACAACTGGTTGATGAACGTTTGGTCCGCCCCACACTCATTCCGCGCCTGGACACGCCCAACCGTTCCTCAGCCGAACTACACACTGACACTGCACCCAGTATATATCGTAGTGGTGGTCACTGCGGCACGAAATGCAGGGGTCGGAAGACAAAAGGCTTTTTAGGGCAAGTTTGCGAACAGTTATCACTTCTTTCCGCCATTTTTCTCGACTATTTAGCACCCCTGGCTATCTTTAAGACTAAAGCAGTCGTGGCAACTGGCCTTTAATGCGAACCGCTTTTGTTTCATATTGGCACGTCGCAATGCGAAACGATAGGCAGCGATCGGTCGACTTGTGGGGCGGGCGATGGGCATCCGGGCCGGCATGATGGCAGTTTGATTAGGGCGCTATAAGCGTAACTTGCCTGGAAGCACAACACGTGAGTTGCGCTTGCCCAGGGGCGCTGAATTCTGCCCTCCTAGATGTATCAATGCCACACGTCATGTGGATTTGTTGAGCCACTTGTCTTTCAGATCCAGCGAAATGAGGCTATTCCAGCTATGCTTTCGCCAAATGACGGGCAAAGTGTGATAGTATGCACTCACATGAAAGACGGTCCAAGGTTAACTTGCACACAGAAACCCCTGCTTTGTCTTTTCGAGAATATCTGATTACCCCTGAAGTTTGAAGGAGCCTTCCATTTTCGAGAGTCAGGCAGTACTTCATTGTGAATACTAATTGACGAAGCTAGGCATAGGGCAAAATAGAAACTAGCATTAGAATAGGCACAGGATTGCTGAGAAGTTGTCATTGAGAACGGCAAGAACTACCACTTGTTCTTTAGTTCAGTTGTTGATGGACAGCATTCCTAACATTCCACTTTCAGTTGGGTTAAGAAAATGAATCTTTCAAATTTCGGTAAAATAAGAAAGAACAAGAAAATTTTTGCCAACTGATGGGCTTACTAGATAACGCTCACACCTCTGGAAAGACCATTTCGCGCATTGTTGCGGGAGCGGAACAGCAAGTTAAAGAAGCATCCAATACCGGATTTTCCTCAATGTCCTGCTGCTAGGTTTTTGTGTTCTTCATTAGCGAATGATCTGCCTTCTATCGAGGGATACCTTGTTAAGGAATAATAGAAAGCAGAACTCTAATAAGGGACAAAACTTCTAAGACTGTATTCATACATGGCGACTTTAACCATTCAGTCTGCGGTTTGAGAATCGCTCGAATGCGACTGAACATGCTCCACCGCTAATTATTGGGCCGCTGCACTCGCTAGTTGAATCACACTCAGTACAAGATTAACTGTAGTAGCTTAGGATCCTGCAGCGGTTTCAGGATTAGCGTGGTGTACGGTCATCGGTCATCGGCGCGCTGAGTTGCTCTAGTGGCGAAGTAGCCCTAGCGAGCAGATCATGCGTCCAAAACCACTCCTCAACGACACCTTTGACGTTCTGGAGAAACATACGCAACATAGTTACGATTTCTTTGCGCCTTTTGAAAACAAACTGTAGATTCACCTCCGTGGATCCCGGTGATTGCCGCGTTTGAGGATAATGGGTCCGCAGCTGCAACAGCGTGCCACCTTCCTCGGCCAAAAGTGCACGGGAACAGGACTGGAGGATAGTGATGCCTGCCTTGCCACCGTCTCCATACTCCGCCCGTGCTGCAGCACAGTTAGCCACACCCCTAATCACAGCCAGACGCTCTACTTGTCTGCCCCCTCTCAGTTCTACTTGCTCTCCGACTTCAGTAGAAATGCTAGCTCACTATTCTTATTGAAGGTGGGAATAACGTAGCCAATGTTGTGGTGTCTGGGGCAGGGCACGCCATTGTGTTGTGATCAATTCCTGAAGAATGCGATGCGACCCCCTAATTCCATCCTCAAATACGACCCCCTCCCCATGCTACCTACCACTTTCCTAGATTTTCCCAACTTCCACTTTTTTTTCATTTCTTTCTCGAAAAATTTCTGATTTTTCCTCCAAAATTTTGCTGACGAGCGGGGAAGGGGTGGGGGGGGGAAGTTGTCAGGATTTAACTATCATTTTCAACTATCGGAAATAGTAGTTGTATAGATCTTTGGCAGTCCCTCTCCCAACAACGACCAAATACGACCCCCCCCCCCCCTGTTGTGATCACCACAACCATGGTATGCCCTGGTCTGGGAACCCCGATAATGGAGGCTAACCTTTTGTTGACAAGATCGGCGAGTAGTAAACTATGCAAAACTCCTTAGCTTTTTCTTATCTCCTCGAAGACTATGTAATAGGACCCGCTTCTAGTTTTAATAAGATCAACCTAGATCTCTCTTGGCAACTGAAGTTGATTTCAATGAACAACATTAATTAACATTAAGAAAAAGACCAACTTGAAAGTGCAGAACGGGCACTGGAAACCTGAACGCTTCTGGTGACCGACCATGTGGTTTTTCATCCGTTCTCCTGTTTTCCCTTTGTAGGGGCACTGGATACACTTTCGAGGGTCTTCTTGAAATGCACGATCTGAAATGAAGCAGAGTCAGATCTAGTAAACTGCAACAACTGCAGCAGCTGCACTGATTAGAAAATGCGCATATATACTCCAGTTCGCTGCGGACGGTGGGCGTGTCAGGCAGTATGAGTGTGTCATCCGTCAAAGCCGTTCTCTGCCTTCTTCTTGAGGCGCGCATGCGACAAAAAGTGGTAGAAAACGAGTAATACCGAGCGATATGTCATATCACGTTGATCGTTCTTTGAAACAAACTCCGGTGGAGAACGGGTTTGGCACCGCGTCAAACTCATCCCGCCTGACACGCCCAACCGTCCGCAGCGAACTGCACTACAGCTAGCGACTGCCTACTATGCACAGAATTCAAGCTAGCCAACTCTGTGCTCTAGACAATGCAAGGATCGGACGAGCATCCGCTGGCAAATAAGACTGGGGTGTGCACCAGGTTATATCGCCCTGGATCAGAATACAAGGATCAAGACGATGCGGATCGCGACCTATACAGCGGCAACGCGAGAGGAGTGAAAGTGCTCGTGTCAGAACTAATGAATTTAACGTGAAGTCGCTACCGTACGTTCAGTAAACTATAATAGCTAGGAAGCTTTCGTCAGTTACGAGTAATACCCCCGCTCTTTCCATATACAGCATCCCACTAGCGATGACAAATCGCATCGACAATGTCACGCTCGACACGCGTCGCGCCTTGCAGCCCAAATGGCACAGCAGGTACTACTGATCAACCGGCTTTATACCTGCTCGTCTATTAATTACTTGCACCCGTGACTCGGACTTTGTAAGCAAGAGTTTGCAGGTATGGAACATGTCCCACCACGAGCCTCACGTTCAATCTCGTCTTATCGGAGATCACCTGTTTGAACATGTTTCACAAGTTCCGACAGCTTCAAAGCAGCAACAACTTAACACTGTCATTTCATTTTTGCAGATTTTTTTTGCTTTTCCTATTCATTTCCTTTTAGCATTCCATTTTGGTTGAAGTTGGGGAGGAAGGGGAGGCAGGGCTGCGAGGGGAGTTACAAAAAAGGCACTTTGCCCACGGAGAGCTCACGCCGCGCAGAGTGGCAACATACATAGAAGACCGATGATAAAACCTCAAGACCCAAGATTTTAGTCGATAAGAAGCACTCCTCGGCCTCCATGGTCACGACAAGATGAAGCCATCCGTCATCGCCGTCCAGTTCAGATAGCCTACAGTATTCGTGCTCACCTGAAGCAATTGCCTGGCACTATTTACCCTTTACTGCCCCAACCATCCAGAATTGAGCCAGTTTTTGACCGACTTTTTTCTCCGTGGACAGATTTGGCTCAAATGTTGTCTCCTAGGGTAGTTTGACCTCCTGAATACGAATATCACATTCGCTTAGCCCGAAACTTCCTGGCGCCCGCGCCACAGGCGCCGGTGATTTGGGGTATTTTGGCCAGGAGGTTTCAGGCGAAGCGGATGTGATATTCGTATTCAGGAGGTCAAACTACCCCAGGGAGCAAATT